CCAATATAATCACGCCGAGGACAGTTTTTGACATAATTGGACTAGATGTCGACATGATTAATTGTCCCTTGTCGCATGCTGCCTGTTCCACGCTTCTTTCTTATTGACCTTCCTGGGAGTGTTAGGACTGTCAACGACGCATGCTGTCCAGGGCCGTAGGCTGAGTAAATTCCTGGGGGGTGAATTTCATGACTCAACTGTGTAATGATGAGCGACGGGCGCAGCTCTTGATCGACGTCCATAGTGTGGTATAGAAGGGGTGGGTCAGAGACAAGGCTTTCACGGATAAGTAACCAAAAAAATCACGTTAGGGTTATTTACGATTATTAGCTAAGCTTATTTTTTAATTTTGCTCCAAAATCTAAGAAACAGCTGCCCCCTTGCCCCCCCCCAAAGGCTACGACCCTGCTGTCGTCTATACGGAGCATATTTGTAATGAAACAGTTGCTGGTCGCTTCTCTACACATCCCGTCTCAATTTTTCCTCCGCGTTATTGTTTTCCATTTTACGAAATCGGTGTGAAACGTGCTCGACAACAAGTGAGCTTCAAAGCGGCTGCTGTCCAATCATGCGACACTTCCCGTATATTGCTGCTAATAGAACGATAAGTAAGCGCGAGTCATTATATAACTGCCGTTTATGATTGCGTAGTGTATAGCACACGCCGCTTTCTCCCAAACACATATACGGATTTACGACTACCTCGCTCATTAGTAGGTAGCTCGCGCTGGTCTACTAATGAGATTGCTCTCACTCTCGTGTAGTACGCGCGTCCGCAGCTAATCAGACGCGGTATAGCTTTTCATGTCCCTGGCAGCTACGATGAAATCGCGGCACGTTGACTGTGTACCCAACACTCCACACCGCAAATTGCCGACACCGGCATAGACACCCCTTGTATTACTCTAAAAGATTGTAACGGCAACTCGACCCAATATTTTGCGGTAATTTGTATACTCGGTAGAAGATATAGGTGGGTAGGTAGGTAGGTATAGGTAGGTAGGTAGGTAGGTAGGTAGGTAGGTAGGTAGGTAGGCAGGTAGGTAGGCACGCAGGCACGCAGACAGGCACGCAGGCAGGCAGGTAGGCAGATAGGCAGGCAGGCAGGCAGGTAGGCAGATAGGCAGGCAGGTAGGCGGGCAAGCAGATAAGCAGGCGAGCAGGTAGGCAGGTAGGCAGGCTGTGGCAGGTAGGCAGGCAAGTAGGCAGGTAGGCAGGCAGGCAGGCAGGCAGGCAGGCAGGCAGGCAGGCAGGCGGGTAGGCAGGCAGGCAGGCAGGCAGGCGGGTAGGCAAGCAGGCAGACAGGCAGGTAGGTAGGTAGGTAGGCAGGCACGCAGGCAGGCACGCACGCAAGCAGGCAGGCAGGTAGGCGGGCAGGCAAACAAGCAGGCGGGCAGGTAGGCAGGCAGGCAGGTAAGCAGGCAGGCAGGCAGACAGGCAGGCAGGCAGGCGGGTAGGCAAGCAGACAGGCAGGCAGGTAGGTAGGCGGGTAGGTAGGTAGGAACTTGGGTAGGTGATTACAGCTGTTGGCTTCCGCTCCACACATAATAAATCAACCACGTATTTGATTACGTCGGCCTGTATGGTTTGACAGCTCGTTTGGTTACGGCCAGGGCGGGTCTACATGTGTCCCTGCCCTAGGGAAAAACACTGGCAGGAGGCACGAGAGCGTGAATGTAATTCCAGAATTAAACCTAAATTCGCCCGAGATTGCAGCTACTAGTCTGTTCGATTTTAACTGCATTTAAAAAGAATTTTAATGAAGCGTGTAAGATATGCGACTATAGGCATGGCACGCTCGCGTACACTCCGCGATCTCTCTCCCACGCGCTATCAGCTAGCTATAGCAGCGCTCTATCAACCCAGCTTCTCTCGCTGCAGCATCCCGCCTCCTTCACGCTCGCATCAAGCCTCTCAAACTTTGAGTAGCAGACGCGCGAGTTTACCGCGGTTCAACATGCGCATGCGCTTCTCTGTGTACTGGCAGCAAGACCATCGGCAGCGGCAGCAGCAAGCAGAAACCAGGACGACGGTATCATGCAGCGATATCAGCAGTAGCAGCAGCAGTAGCAGCGGCGGCGGCAACAGCAGCAACAGTGGCGGCGGCATGTGACTACGCTTCACACAGCTTCATCAACTAGCTGGTCGGGAGCAGCAGAGGGAACAGCGAATGAAGCGTGAGCAGCATACGCGAGGTAAACGCGTGCTGGCGTATCGTGCGTGTGCACACGCGCGCGCGCCGCTGTAACGCACACACACACACACACACACACACACACACACACGTGTAGCGATCACGTACCCACGAGTAGTGCACGTACACGAGCGTATACACGGACGATGCATGCCTGCAGTCGCGTCGACAACCTAAACGGTAAAAACCTACGTTTATTTATCATTGTTAGTCGCACAAGCAAGGTACGTGTTTCCTCCTGACATAAGTGACACGATACATAATATTGGATATATGTTGTATATATAT